GTGTTGCCCCTCACTGACACTTCAATCATTTCCATGATCTCTCCAGTGAGGCGAGGGTTAAAGGGGTGATGCTGCGATGGTGGCAGCCAAGACACGATGGTGCAGGACACGACCAGTGGGCGTTGGACCATGTGGAAGTAGTTCTGTGAGTACCCAATTCCCAGCTGTCATCTGGCTCTTTCCTACCCCCTCCCAAACTGGCCCCCCACAGAGCCCTGATCTGCCCCCGACGCTACCTTTGACTCTGACTCAACTGTACAAATGGTTCCCTCTGCACTCCACCCTCGCACAGTGATCGAGTTAGCACACAGGTGTGCACTGATTGCCACCCACAACTAAACTCATGAGAAATCACTTTCTTTTATATGCTAATCGCAGCTTCTGGTGTCAGGCAATCAGGGCACAAAACTTACTGCAGCATGCTTTGCGGTGATGGGTAATGTCTGTGGATGGCTGTTCTGTGTTCAGCAGATCAACGCCTGCTGTTAAGTCATCATATTTTCAGTGTTTTGTAGAATCCATGCATCTTCCACGCAAACAGGTTATCAATCTTTTTTTTTTCCACTGAGTTGTCAAGAAGCAGTTACTAAATCTCTTATTAATCACATGTTTACATATCCACCCTTGAGTTACCGTTACTATCGCCATTTTGCAGTTAAGTTATCTGTCCCTTGTTGCATCACTGTTGAGATGCTCTGTGAGGTCCTAAACACAGACTGTATATAAATGATGGATGTAGCCTACTGATCTGAACCTACTGATCAATTTCTTTTGTAATTCCCATCAGGAATTACTCTTTGTAATGGGTTTGTGGTCATGCATGTACATATATGTGTGTGTATCTGGGTTTCCAAGATGCATCCCTGCTGTTACCATTTTTCTCCATGGGATTTTTCTCTCACCAAAACTGGACAGTGGAAGATGAATTTTTGCAGGAACATGGAGAGGTAGGATAGAATTTCACTTAGACAACACGAATGTATGGATACATCCTGCCTTATATGATGGCGGTGCTGTCATGGTGTGGGAGATATTTTCTTGGCATTTTGTGCCTCCTGGTATCAATTAAGCATTATTTAAATTCCACAGCCTACCTGAGTATTTGGCTGATCACGACCATCCCTTTATGACCAGAGTGGACCAATCTTCTAATTGCTGCTTCCACCAGTATAACATGCTATGTCACAGAGCTCACATCATCTCAAACTGGTTTCCAGAACTCTACAATGAGTTCACTGTACTTACACGGCCTCCACAGTCACCACATGGAATGGAAGATTTGCATCATGGATATGCAGCTGGTAAATGTGCAGCAACTGTGTGATGTTGTCATGTTAGTATAGACCCATTGTTAAATCTACGCTATGTAGAATTAAGGCAGTTCTGAAGTCCAAAGGGGATCCAACCCAGTACCAGCTAGGTGTCCAGTGGTTTCACCAGTACAGCTGCTCTCTGTGTTTGTGCTTTTACCACTAGGTCTTCTTTAATATATGATGCTTGTTTGTAAATTACAGTCTGACCTAAGGGACACTAGAAAATACGATGGGGTTTGCATCATTGCATGGCTAGCTTGAAGTTGGCAAGCCGCTACCTTGTGGGCTGGGAACACAATGCTCAGCTCAAGGCTTTAAAATGAGCAAGACTCTGCAAACTACTTTCAGTGCAGCTACATCCGTCTTTAACACGGTCTGTGGTTCTGAGATGATTCTTGTTGTGAATGGCACTCTATAAAAAAATGCAACTGAAATAATTCACATGTGGTACGGATGGAGAACAGGATCATTCTTGTCTTCCATGTAAAACAAAGGAAAGTGTGATGGCCACTTCACATCTATTAAAAAGTGTCTTTTTGTTCCGCTGTGAAATCACAGTCTGACCAGTCTTCTTTGTTTTTAGGTGTCACATCCATTTCATCTAAAAACAACATTACTGTATTTCTTTCTTTTAGGTAATGCGCTGTTCTTAAATTTGATTTCACTGAACTTGTGGATACTGAACCTTTTCACTGATTGTTTTTTCTCTGTCTTTCATTCCCATTTTCTACATGTGTGTTACATTGTAGCTCATAACCTGGATGAGTCTGTTTTATCAAAGTGGAAGTTGATTACAGCGTTTAAATCTAATGACAGGCTTTTTTTTTTTTAAATGGAGAAGTGGAGATTCTGCAGGGCACTGAAGATATCATGAACATGGTTTATAGCACATTGTTAAGCATGTTCAATACATTCTCTGCATGTTGTTCTGGGAAATTGCTTAAATTCCCTCACATGCAGGTGCTGATTGGTCATTCAGATGTGTAACCAAAGCATTTCAGATGGTGCATACAACAGCCATGTGGTTTCCAGATTATGCAAAGTTGCACACAAACGCAAATAATGACTCATACAGACACACACATTTATGCCTAACCTGAGCTGTCCCTGGTCTACATGGCCGCGACCTGTCCCACTCCCTCCTTTGCACTCGCTTGGTTTCAACAGTGTCTGCTGAAAGGAGTGACCGCGATCCTCACATTTTGCTCTGTTGTTTATTTCTCTCTGTTCACCACTCCTTCGCACATTCTCCTCTCAATCCTCCTGCTCAATCTTTTTCTTTTGCTTCACACGCTTTTCCTCCCTGCCTCCTTGCTCCCCTCACCTCACCGATGCCTTCGATCATGCGGTCATGCTCGCTCCTTTTGCTTGTGCCACATTTATATTCCTACCGTACTTCCGCATCTTCCTCCTCCTCTTTTCCTTTCTTCCCGTATTTCCCTTTTCTTTCCCTGTTTGTCTTACAATTTTGGCATACAATGGATGGATTACTGCTGTGTATCTTGCTCTCTTTCTTTACCTCTGCCTTTGGTTATATCTCCATCTTACATCTTTCTACTGTTTCCTCGCTTGTTCTGCCTATTCTTTTGTTCTCCATTTTCTTTCACGATTTTTGTTTCCTTCCTCACTCTCTCTGTCTTTCCCACGCTTTCTTGTTTCTTCCTTGAACTTTTGACTATCTTTCTGCCTTCCTCTCTTCCTCCCTTCTCCCCACTTTGGGCCCCTCGCCTCCCCAGGCTTGGGCTCATACCCTCCCAGACCTTTCTACGAGACAGCAGTCCCTTCCTACTGCCTCTCCCCTCTCGCGCTCTAACCTCTGCTCTCTTCTGTATTCTGCTCCCTCTGGCATGGCTGTAGTGTCAGGTAAGTTCTCCGCCTCTTCCTGAATGCAGCCCCCTCCCTCATCCTCCTCCCAGCTCCTTTTGTTCTCCCTATTACACCGCAGACACCCTTGATTTCACATACACACCGCAGCCCTCGCCATCACCACCATGGTCATCTCCATGCCTTCTCCAACATGTAAGCCCCTACAGGCAGGTCAAAGGGCAGGTCAGCTGCTCAGAGTGTTCAGCTGGAGGCTCACTGATAAAATGATCCAACACACAGTTTTTAAAAGACAGCTCTTAGCACAGGAAGTACAACAATATCCATGAAAATTCAGTGGATGGAGGGATAAACAAATCCTGAACAGTGCTGGTAAATTTTCTGCTGACATGCATTTTTTATTTTTTATTTTTGTAAATGGTTCGACACAAGGTCACAAAGGTTCCAAATAAAGCGGCTATGATTTGAATATGCAATCACTGCGGCATTTAAATGTAACAATTTACATGCACAGATGTCAATGGTAGTGTGTTTGTGTGTATATGTGTGATGTAATCCATCACTATACTTGTATCTGTCTGTTTTGTTCTTGCTGCCACCTCAACTACAGGCTGCTGTAGTGTTTTTTGACACGGCTGCTGATTCACAAGCAGACCTGAAAAAGATTACTGTTTGCTGTAGTTTATTTATTATCACACAAGCCTCAGCAGTGAATGACGATGTATCTTTTCTTCCATTCATACATCAGCATCAGTCGCAGTGCAGGGCATCTCACATCCTTATCCTCAAATGAACTCACAGTTGACCAGAGTTTCATTAGACTCCTCCGTCCTTGCATGGCTTTAACGGATCGACTGTCGCGATAGCCCTCCATCCTTTTTTTTTTCACTCATGGCTTTCTGTCCGTCTGTCCGAGGACGACGACATCTAACTCTGAGCCAGGAGCTTCCTCCTCACTTCTTTCTGGTTTCCGACCACAAGTCAGAAACACACCAGCATGCACACGTGCTCTCAAACAAACATATCGCTACCATTCGCCTGTACAGCATCAACCATCACACCCACTGGCACCATCTACCTACCTCGCCCTATCCTTCCTGCCCCCCTCCCTTCCCCCCTGCTTCGCAGAGGCCTCCCCTGCCTGCCCTGGCTGCACTCCTGGCTCACTGGCACCGCCCTGCTGGATGGAAGAGGCAATGAACAGGCTAAGCAAGAATGATCTACTGCAGCTTTTCTCTGTTACTTAGATTTAAAACCACCCGTTCCCGCTCACCACCCTGCACTTTATGGCTTTTTTTTTTTTTAATTATTTTTTAAAATTCTTCTTATTTTGTTTCCTCTGACCTCAAACACTCAGTGTCAGAGTTTCTCCCTAGTATGTTTTAGTGTGTCTGTAGACTCCTGTGTCTTCTGTCTTGTCGTGTTACATTTGGTCTAGTCGATGGATACATGTAGCTAATTGTAGTGCCATATTCACCATCTAGCTGCCTCTCATTTGTGCAGAGTGTAATGAAATCGAGTAGCGCCACCCATTCTCTGAGCTGTGGGATCCATGCAAGCGTTGAGTGTTTGAGGTTGTGGTTGAAACGTGACTTAAAAAAAAAAAATAGCCAGCATGACTCCGGATGTGAGAGAGTGCGGAAGCTGCATTCGGCCATTTGTGCGTGTGAATGCATGGTTTCAAGTGCGTGCATGGGAATGTGTGATTTTTGCAGCAGCTCTTTACTCTGTCGCTAACGTTCACACCCCCTCCTCTTTCCCTCCCTCTGTTTTTTTTTTTTTTACTGTCTTTGTATCCCTGCAGCACACGTAAACAGAACTACATGATGAACTTTGCCAGACAGACCGGCATGCGTCACTACTACAGCCGCAAGAGGCGGGCACTGCAGCGCCGTGCTTGAACCCAGCGAGTAGGGATTTCATCCTCTGACGTGCCAACCACACATCGACCTGCCACACACCATCCTTATTCTCATCCTGTTGAGACCCATCCAGTGGATTCCAGTCAGCCTTAGAGTTCCCTCGCCCATCTTTACCGACCCCTCTGCCACAAACACGGAACATCCAATCAGTTTACGCTCCAGCCAATCAAGGCCTTCCCAAACCCATGGGTCGGCGGGATTGAAACTCAGAAGGAAGGAGTGAAGAGGCTGTTTTGTTTACTTGTTCCCATGGGATGGTCGGGATTTCTAGTTGTTTTGTAATTGTTGCTGTGGTTCCTCCGATTCCCATTCCCACCTGCTCTACCCTTCCCTCTGGGTCCCAGCCCCCTCCCTCTACCCCTTCTTCACCTTCTCCCTTCTTTTCCTGCCGCACTGTGAAATTGAGAGATAATATATCACTGCTGAACTGACCAGCCGATTGCAGAGCAGCCTCCCAGTTCCACTGAGCCACCGGGTGGGAGGACCGCTCCACCGCTGCCAACAAGTACACCCAGAAAGAACGACTGCAATGATGATGCTGACCATTAGGAGGAGTGATGGTGATCAAGCCCCAAGAAGAAAAGAAAAAAAAGAAAAAACGAAAAGAAAAAGGAAAAAAAAAGTACTGTGTTCTTGCTGTTCTGTGTGTCTGTGGGTTCTTTTTTGTGATGAGTTGACTGTGGTGTTCTGTTCATTTGTTCGTTCGTTTTATACTAATTCATATGCTTTTAAGGGGGCGGGGTGGGGAGGGTCGGTTTGTGCTGGGTTCTGTTTCCTTTTCCTCGTTTATCCACATCGGGGCGGGGCGAGAAAAGCCCCGGCTCCACACGAAGAAGAAGCAAAAGAACGATTTGCAGACGACGGAAAGGAGAAAATATGGAGAGAGAAAAAAAAAGAAAAATAAAGACTGAACAGCAATTGTTTTTTTGTTTTTTTTATCATTTTTTTATATATGTTGGTTCCCGAAAAATACAGATATTTATGGTAAATGGTTCTTCACGTGACCTATTTAAGATGCACTGTGCGTGAAATCTGTATGTTTTTTCTAGTGTTAAGTTATTAGGCAGTCGAGTCAGGCTCTCGGACTGCATCATCTCCCCTCTTCCTTCACTTCCCTCTTCTCTTGTGCTGTTTCCCCCCACCCCATCCTCTCTCTGCTGATTTCTGATACCTGGAGGTGAGGCTCTTAGTGTTGTTTTTTGAAGTCTGTGTAATATGGACCCTCTGCCCTCAGTGTAACTTCAGTATAGCAATCTCCTGTATATATATGTATATCCACTATGGGGAGACCCAGCAGCCTTATAAAAGGGAAATAAAGAACTGTCCAAACCTCATACTGTACACATTGCTTCAGCTGCTCTCGTTCATTCCTGCAAAATAAGCCTGGACTTTGTTTGCTTTAGACTTTCTCTCCTTTGTGGCTCTCACTCTCAGATCCCAACAAAGATTTAAAGCCATGTATGGCTGAATCTAAATTATCTATGGTGTACATATCAGTAGTAAAGAAAGATGCAAGTCAGTGAGTGGCTCCTAAATGTTTACTTAATTCAGTGATAGAAGTCAATGGGATAAAGAAATCTCTGGAAACTGACACGTGAGAGTAGGAATCAGTTAATTGTTTTGATTTTCTGTAAAATTATGACAATAAGAAAAATACACAACATAACCATCCCTGCCCCATATCTGTGTGACTTAGTATGTGACAAAAGAGTGTGGGAAAACATTCAAAAGGCATCAAATTTGATAATTTATTCAAATATTTATTCAGAGAACTATAAAAACAAAGAAAAAAA